CATTCCTTTGATATATTCCTTAATATTAAACAGGGGTTATGTGTTTGGGGGAGGAAGAGAAGAGAGGTAAGATGCCATCTTCACCTCATTGTATCTAGGGTATAGACTTCCAATATATTTAATCACTGGGGACGTTGACCTTATCACCTGGCTGAGTTGGTATTTCTCAGATGCCTCCATTTTAAATCTCTACCTTCTTTCTCATACTGTGCCCTTTGGGAGAAAGTCACTATGTGGAGCTCAGACTTAAGGAGTGGGAATTGTGCCACACCTCTTTGAGAGTATAATATATACATAAATTATGTGAATTTCTGTATGGTAGATATATCCATTTTAGCCCATCTATGTATGTGTATATATATTTACTAAATCATTTATACCAGTGAGGACTCATGGATATTTATTTTATACTTAGGTTATAATCCAATATTACTGTATTTATTTTGCTGCTTGCATTTTTAGCTTAGACAATTGTTTTGTCTTTTGGTTGGCTCCAGTGTCCCTTTGACATGCCCCTATCATTTTGTCTATGTGTGTGTGTGTGTGTGTGTGTGTGTGTGTGTGTGTGAAGTGAGTAGTTTGGCATTTCCTACTTTCTGGGAATATATATAAGATTCTCTAGGCTCATCTTGTATATTTCCTGCCCTGGCCTTATAATCTGCCATTTCCCATGGGCCCCTGGTGGTTGTATTAGAGAATGGCATTAGAAACCAAGACCATTCAACATTGTTAAAATGTCTATACTACCCAAACTGATCTACAGATTGAATACAATCCCTATTAAGATCCCAACACCATTTTTCACAGATATAGAAAAAATAATTTTATGCTTCATTTGGAACCAGAGAAGACCCTGTATATCAAAAGCAATTCTAGGCAATAAAAACAAAATGGGAGGTATCAATATGTCAGATTTCAAACTATACTACAAACCTATAGTAATTAAATCATTTTGCTATTGGTAGAAAAACAGGGACATTGACCAGTGGAACAGAACTGAGAACCCTGATATAAAACCATCCTCATATAGCCATCTAATCTTCAACAAAGCAGACAAAAACATTCACTGGGGAAAAGAATCCTTATGCAATAAATGGTGCTGGGAAAACTGGATAGCCACATGTAGAATGCTGAAGCAGGATCCACACCTTTCACCTCTCACAAAAATCAACTCACGCTGGGTAACAGACTTAAATCTAAGGTATGAAACTATTAGAATTCTAGAGGAAAACATTGGAAATACTCTTCTAGACACTGGCCTAGGCAAAGAATTTATGAAGAAGACCCCTAAGGCAATCACAGCAACAACAAAAATAAATAAATGGGACTTGATCAAACTAAAAAGCTTCTGCACAGCCAAAGAAACAGTCATGAAATCAAACAGACAACCTACAGAATGGGAGAAAATTTTCGCAACCTACACATCTGATATGGGGCTGATAGCTAGAATCTATTTAGAACTCACAAAAGTCAACAAGAAAAAATCAAACAACCCTATCAAAAAGTGGGCAAAGGACATGAACAGAAACTTTTCAAAAGAAGACAGAATAATGGCTAACAAACATATGAAAAAATGCTCAGCATCTCTAATCATCAGGGAAATGTAAATCAAAACTGCCATGAGATATCACTTATCTCCAGTGAGAATGGCCTTTATCAAAAAGTCCCAAAACGATAAATGTTGTTGTGGATGTGGAGACACAGGAATACCCCTACACTGCTGGTGGGACTGCAAACTAATACAACCTCTGTGGAAAGCAATATGGAGATACCTTAAAGCGATACAAGTGTATCTACCATTTGATCCAGCAATCCCACTAATGGGTATCTACCCCAAAGTACAAAGGACAATCTACAATAAAGACACCTGCACTCAAATGCTTATAGCAGCACAATTCACAATTGCAAAGCTGTGGAAACAAACCAAGTGCCCATCAATACATGAGTAGATTAATAAAATGTGGTATATATATATATACCATGGAGTACTATTCAGCCCTAAGAAACGATGGTGATATAGCACATCTTGTATTTTCCTGGATAGAGCTGGAACCCATTCTACTAAGTGAAGTATCCCAAGAATGGAAAAACAAGCACCACATATACTCATCAGCAAATTGGTATTAACTGATCAGCACCTATGTGGACACATAGGAATTACATTTATTGGGTATTGGGCAGGTGGGGGGGGAGGAGGGGATGGGTATATACATACATAATGAGTGAGATGTGCACCGTCTGGGGGGTGGTCACGCTTGAAGCTCTGACTTGAGGGGGTAGGGGAGGCAAGAGCATTATAGGTAACCTTAAAATTTATACCCCCATAGTATGCTGAAATAATAAAAAAAAAGTCAAGACCTTGGCACTAAGTGTGCTTATTGCTTTTGGGGTATTGTTGCTTCTAGGAAATTCCCTTGACAGAGCAAGGAAATATATATGTGTCTATTAACCCATGCACATATACATATCTATAAATATTTAGCTTTTTTAATTAATAAAATTTATTGAAAATCAAAGCCAAATATCCTTCCTATGACCTATTTTTAATAATTCCAAAGTATACTTTCTTGAATTCCCTGCATATTATTCTCAGTGAGGGCATTTATATACATATTTTAAACCATCAGAATAAAACCAGTACCTAAGAATGTGACCTTATTTGGAAATAGGATCTTTGACAATGATTAAGTTAAGATGAGGCCATGGTGGGGGCAGTAATACAATATGACTGAAGTTTCTATAAAAAGGGGAAATTCAGACATAGAGACAGACACACACAGAGGGAAGACAACACGATGATACAGAGAATACCATCTACCACTTGAGGAGACCTGAGGAGCAAGGTCTGCAACAGAGCCTTCTTCAGAAGGAAGCAAGCCTGCCAACGACCTGATTTTAGACTTCCGGCCTCCAGAACTGAGAGACAATAATACATTTCTGTTATTTAAGCCACTCGGTTGGTGGCGGTGTTAAAGCAGCCCCAGGAAACTAATTCAGTTACTAATGTTCTTGAATAATCTTTATACATTTTAAATAAACATGTTCGTCATATTATATCAAAGCCTCAGATTGACATAAATAATATTTTTGATATTTATGTTATCCCAACAGAGAAAGTTAAATACAAGTGGCTGTTTAAGGTCGTGCCCAAAGGACAGCAGGGTTACAGCAGGCACAGCAGGGATGACCCTGTGAGGAGGTGATAGAGACCGTCCACTCAGAGTGCCTGTGTGGCCAACGCACCTGGGGCCTGGACACCTGTGTCTCATGATTCTGAGGTCATTCAGTGTTTATCCATTTCAGGGATAAGTTCCCCAGTAGAATTATTTACAAAGGCTTAAAAACATGGAATGATCATACCCATCCTCTTCAAACTTCTCCATGATTTGTGGGAACCCACTATATAGTACATCCCTTTCAAATGCTTCAATCTTCTTATAAGAAAAGGATTATGTAAGTATATGTTACTGCAGTCATCATAATTTGAAGTTAGGAGATTAAAAACAAGGAAGAACCTTTGTCTATAAAAATGCATTTATCTGCTAGGGATCCTCTAAAATGCCATCAGAACCCATGGGTGATCTCCACACTGTGAAAATGCCAACCACACTTAGCAAGCAATGGTTCCATGAATATTCATCAGTGTTAACTGTTGACACCTAAACTGATGCTGGATGTGGCCAGATAAACACACAAGAAAAACCAGGAAAGGAAGAACAGCGTCAACATTTGGGATTTAAATGCTAGAACAATCCCCCCTGTTTGGTAGCCCTTTTTGGGCAGCCTCACGCCCCCCAGTCCTGCTGGTACCTTCCACCCTCTCAGAAAGTGGAATTAGATCATTCACGTAGATGACTCCTAATTGGGAACAAGCTTCCCCAAACATTTCTCATCACGCTGCTTCCAAGGTTCATTTAAATAAATTATGATCTTCCATTCTTTTAACCTTATCGTTGCTTAATATTTAAACATAGATCCCATCTTTCAACTTTAGCACCATAACACCCAGAGGGAATCTTTTGCCTCTCTCCCTTGATTAGGTAGCATTTTCAGGAATTTTCTTGATGTATAAATGGATCTCTATTAAAATTCTACCAAGAATTCAGACCATTCTTTAAACATTTTTGCCAATAATTATCAACATTAACATCTTAATCTAGTCACCAATAAGACAAATTATTATGGAATTTTAAGAGGCAACAAATTATTCATATTATTAAATAACAAACAATAAGATCAGTAGAAAAGTTGACTCTATCCCCCATCTATACCCTACACACTGCAAAAAAAATCAGTTGCAAAATAGTGGACCATAGGGATAATTAAATACCCAAACCAATAAACAACAGCATAAAACCAAAAGCAAAACAAAAACATATTCAAATACATTAGTAAGCAAAATGTCTCTTTTCATCTAATTACATGCTATATGATATGCATGTAATGATCACTTAATAAAATCACATTGTTAGGAAATTATTGTGCTCAATCTATTGAAAAAGAAACTTACAGTGTAATATAAAGTTTAAAGTCAAGGAAAGGAATAAGCTAGAAATGAAAACTCAAAAGATATTTCACACCAGCTTCTTTAGTTTGTGAGTTCTCAATAATACTTGATTCTTCTTACATATGTGGAAATTTATAGAACTCTCACCATCAATAAAATTGGTTTATATAAATATGATCAGTAGTGAGTAATCCTCATTAGGTTATAGACATAATGCAAATATAGTCTTGATTCAAAAATATGAATCAATTCTAATCACCCCTTCCTCATCCCAATTAAAGCATTTTAAAAATATGTTCACCTTGCATCAGTTGTTTTGTCTCAAATTATCACTTAGGTATTATGGTTGCCCTAATATAATTAGTTAAAAACCTATACATGAAAGAATTCCACATTAAGGATATGATAACACATAGCCTTAGGCCTCAGAGTGAGGGGGGAAGTCAAATTTAAAGTGGTTTTTGAGAGCTGTACCTCTTAAGTCGATTCCTACCTGCAGACGTTGTCACGATTTCTGTGGTGTTTCTGAGGCCCATGAAGTCAAACTGATAGAGTCGCCACGATTTCTGGTCAGCCGCCTCAACTGAATTTTTTCTCCATCTATAAATCATTTCTTCTTTGGGATAGCCATCTAAAAATACAGAACAGAAATTAGCACTCGAAGATATAAAGTAACAGTCAACAATTCTGATCAATTTATAGGAGTTATAATTTTATGCCATATTTGTTCTCTAAATTTTCTCACAGACACAGAAACTTCAAAACTGAACAGGCAAATGCCACCTAAGTCTGGGCTGCAGAGCTTCACGCTCAGTGAGGTGCTGCATGGCCATAGGCCTGGCTGTCGAATGTCTGGACACAGCAGACAGGGAGCTGTTTTCCTCATCGCTTTGGCCTTGGGGAGCACAGCTGCACTCGGCCTTCACAGTGGAGGGGCTCGTTAACATCCTGCTGGCTCTGGACTCCGTCCTTTCCGGACAAGTCTAACCATGTGGCTCACACCCATCACACCTTCCACCCTTCCCCAGAATTCAGTCCATCCAGATCTCAGGAGAGAGGAGTTTACTAAGGCAGTCTCTCCAGGATTCCAGAGATCAGTGGATTTTTAGTCCGGTTCTCCTGTCAGTCTCAGTTTTGATCGGTGAGCTTGGTCCTTTTTCAGAGACCCCTTCCCAGGTTATTATAATTTCAGGCAGCAAGATGCCCGAGGTATGGTGTTGGCCACCTGCCTAGAGCTGCTGCATTGTGAACAGGTGCCCTGCCCTACCCTGCTGGTGCTGTCACCAGGGCTCCGTGGCTCCCTGAGCCTACACCAGACACTGGCCAGATGCCTGCTTCCCTGCCTGCTTTCTACCTAGATCCCCCACTTCTGAACCTGCTTGGGACTGCAGCTCTCTGCTGGAGCTGTCTGACGTGGGCATTTGTTTGCTTTGTGCTGTCGTATCTCCAGGCTCTGCAGCTGAGTCTGCCCCACAGGGAATTTCTCACTCTCAAGAACAGGTCTAGGTCCCATGTTGTCCCCCAACATACAACAGCACTGGCATCATTAGCTCTTCCAGGCACTAGTGGCATGACTCTGGAAGAAATGTGTGCCCCATCTTGATGACTTATCCTGAATACAGAAAGCTCTGCAAGTATTTATGCAAATATATTTATTAATGGTTGAAAATTGCTGATTAAACATTTAGATCAGTTAGTAAAACTCTTGAAGATAATTTGCTTTCTTGATCTTCCCCCCCCTTTCTGCCTGACATTGCTTGCTTGGCTCCCTCATGCAAAGACAAAAATTAGAGCACAGGCATGCTTCTGCTTTCTGATCATGAATTGCCCTATGAAATTACTGTCAGCACAGTGGGGATACTTGCTCTCCCCTAACTTGACAATGCTGAGTTCAAGGCACCCAGACTCAGTCTGAGGCATTTCTGTGAAGTAATCAAACATGTTACTTGGCCATTAGCCATGGTCACAATTGCTTTCTATCCCTATTAGGCTGTCATAATGAGAAGAGATACTCTACACTGTAATTCTCCCTTTGTAACTTTGTTTTTAAAATAACTTTATTGAGATATAATTCATGTACATAAAATTCACACATTTAGGGTATACAATTCAGTGGTTTTTAGAGTATTCTCAGAGTGGTACAACCATCACTATAATCTAACTGTAGAATACTTTCATCACCCCAAAATGACATTCCCTACCATGCCCGGAACCTGTCTCACCTAGTCCCAGGCAACCACTAATATAGTTTCCATAACTAGAGACTGCCCTATTCTGGACATTTTACATAAATGGAATCATATGGCATGCAATCTTCTGTAAGTAGCTTCTTTCACTTAGCATAAAGTGTTTAAGGTTCACTCATATTATAGCACATACCAGTACTTATTCCTATTAATTTCTAAATGATATTTCATTGTATAGCTATACTGTATTTTGTCTATCTACTCACCAGTTGATAAACATTTTGCTGAGTCCACTTTTTCACTATAAGGAGTAATGTTATGATCATTTGTGTACAAGATTTTTGTCAGTATAGGTTTTCAGTTCTCTTGGGTATATATGTAGGAGTGGAATTGTTGAGTAGGGTAACTCTACATTTAACATTTTGAAGAACTGCTAGACCGTTTTCCAAAGTGGCTTCACCTTAAAATCCTACCAGGAATTTGTGAGGGTTTCAATTTCTCCACATCTTCCCCAACACTTGTTAGTATCTGTCTTTTTAGTTATAACAATTGTAGTGTGTATGAAATGGCATCTGGTTGTTTTAATTTGCATTTCCCTAATGACTAATAATATTGAGCACATTTTCATGCTTTTATTGGCCACGTGTATGTCTTCTTTGATGATGTCTGTTCAAATCTTTTGCTAATTTTTTTTATTGATTTGTTTTTATATTGTTGAGTTTTAAGAGTTTTTTGTGTATTTGGGGTATAAGTCCTTTATCAGATACATGTTTTACAAATAATTTCTCCCATTTCGTGGCTTATATATTTTTTCGAAGCAATTAGAATTTCTTTTATTATGGTAACATATACATAACATAAAGTTTACCATTTTAATGATTTTTAATATACAGTTTGGTGGCAAAATGTACATTCGTTCACATTGGTGTGCAACCATTACCAACACCCATCTCCAGAATTCTTTTTCTTTTAAATAGAATTTATTTTTTAGAGAACTTCCATATTCACAGCAAAGTTGAGTGGAGAGCATGGAGATTCCCTATGCTCCCATCCCCCACACGTGTATCCTCCCCCATTATCAACATCCGCCACAGAGCAGCACATTCATTACAGCTGATGAACCTACACTGACACATCATCACTACCCAGAATCCACAGTTTATATGAGGGTTTGCTCTTGGTACAGTACATTCTATGGGTCTGGACCAATGTATAGTGACATGAATCCACCATTATGCCATCAAACAAAGCAGTTTCACTGCCCTAAAAATACTCTGTATTCTGCCTTTTAGTACTTCCCTTCCCCTCACCCCTCATAACCACTGATCTTTTTACTGTATCCACAATTTTGCCTTCTATAGAGTGTCATAAGGTTGGAATCATATAGTACATAGCTATTTCAGATTTGCTTGTTAGCAATATGCATTTAAGTTTCTTCCATGTGTGGATAGCTCATCTCATTTTAGTGTTGAATAATATTCTATTATCTGGAGGTACCACATTTTATTTATCCATTCTCCTACTGAGGGACATCTTGGTTGCTTCCAAGTTTTGGCAATTATAAATAAAGCTGCTGTAAATGTCCATGTGTAAGTTTTTGTGTGGATGTGGATTACCTTTTGATTCTATATTCTTTGTTTTATTTTTATTTTTTTTGAAACAGGGTCTCACTCTGTTGCCTGGGCTAGAGTGCTGTGGCGTCAGCCTAGCTCACAGCAACCTCAAACTCCTGGGCTCAAGCAATCCTACTGCCTCAGCCTCCCGAGTAGCTGGGACTACAGGCATGCACCACCATGCCCGACTGATTTTTTCTATGTATATTTTTAGTTGTCAAGCTAATTTCTTTCTATTTTTAGTAGAGACAGGGTCTTGCTCTTGTTCAGGCTGGTCTCGAACTCCTGAGCTCAAACAATCCACCTGCCTCGGCCTCCCAGAGTGCTAAGATTACAGGCGTGAGCCACCGTGCCAGCCTCTTCTTCATTTTTGAAGGAAAGTTTTGCTAGGAAGAATTTGCTGACAGTTGTTTCTTTCAACACTTTGAAGATGTCATAGTAGTGTTACGGTCTCCAGGGTTTCTGACGAGAAATGTGCATCTTAATCATACTGTGACTCATTTGGAAGTGACACATAGCTTTTCTCTTGCTGTTCTCAAAATTTTCTCCTTGTTTTTAACATTGCTAATTTGACTATGATGTTAATGGGTGTCAGTCTCTTTAAGTGCATTGGAGTTTGTTGAACTTCTTGGGTGTATAGATTAATTGTTTTTGTCAAATTTGGGGCCATTACTTCTTCAAATAATTTCAAATCTCTTCTGCTCTGAGGCTCCATTACATATTTGCTGGTACTCCTTATGATGGGCCACAGGTAGGTGAGTATTCTGTACATTTTCTCCATTCATTTTGCAGGCATTTAGTGCCCCTCACTGGATAATCATTATTGGTCTATGTTCAAGTTTACTGATTCTTTCTTCCTTCTGCTCAAATCTGTCATTATACCTGGCTAGTGATTTTTTTTGCAGACATTGTAATTTTCAACTCCAGAATTTATATTGGGTTCTTCTTAATAATTTCTATCTTTTCAATGACATCTTTTATTTTGTGAGACCTAGCTGTCATACTTCTCTTTAATTCTTTAGACATGGTTCCCTTAAGTATATGAACATTTAAAATAGCTGATTTAAAGTGTTTTTCTAGCACATCCAGCATCTGGGATTCTTTAGTGAGAATTTCTATTGAACACGTTTTCCCTGTGTATGTGGCATATTTTTCTGTTTTCTTTTGGGCTTTATAATTTTTTGTTGGGATCTAGGCATTTTAGATAATATTTTAGATAATATAACAACTCTGATAGCAGATCCTTTTCTCCCATCCAGAGTTTGTTGTTGTTCCTGGGTTTTTCATTTTTGTTGTTTTCCTTCTGGTTGCTCATTTGCTAAGTGACTCCCCTGGACTAATTTTATAGATTATATATATATATATATATATATATAATTTATTCCCTGCAGTGTGTGGCATCTGAGTTCTTTGCTAGCTTTTTCATTTGTTGTTATTGCTATTGCTTTTATGTTCGTATTTTTATTTTTAAGTCTGCCCTCCTTTGGTTCACCCTTTGTTCATTATAACGCAGTGGTCAGCCAGTGATCAGTCGCAATATTTCCTTGAATGCCTAGCCTGTATTTCTTCCTAACTCTGCCAGTGTCATCATCATCACCATCATCATCATCACTGTCAACATCACAATCACCACCATCATCTCACTGTCCATGAAACTGTAATTATGTTTCAGGAAATAGTCCAGTGCCTTTCTATATAGTAAATACCACAGCAATCCTAAAGACAAAAGCATTTCTGTCCCCATCTTACAGATAAGAAAGCTGAGGCACTGAGATACTATGTGATGTGCCTAAGGAAGGGCCAGAGTACAAACTTACCTAAATTATCAGCTT